ATGATAATTAGGTTTTAGTTTGGTGGCCCTTTTGACCAAGCTTGTTATGCAACTTTTGGCTGTCAGGTGAAGCTGAACCAAAAATCATTGATTATTATGTTTCTTGATGTTCTTATCATCAGCCTGTAACTTGCACATCGTACTAACATTTACACTTCTTGCATAACTGTGGTGTGTACTTATACTAATCTGTAGCCTCTCTATTTTCTGCTTCCCTTCTTTTGAGGTCTCTCTCTTTTCCGTCTTCCCTTTTTTTCAGGTTAGTTTGGATGCTAAAGTTATTGGGATCTCAAGCATTGCAAGAACACTCGCCCAGGAAGCTATCTTCATCCTTTAATGTGGATGTTGTATTCACATTTAAACTTCCCACAATAGTGGTGGTGTGCACTGATATAACATGTAAGTTCTCTTTCCTGTCTTTTTTTTTGTATGTTAGTTTGGCTGCTAAACTGATTTGCAGCTCAGGCATATATAGCCTACTGCCTCAGGAAGCTCAAGAGATACATATCACAGGTTATCTTAGCAAGCTCTTCATAAGAAAACTTCCCTGTTCATATTCAGATTTCTTAAAGCTTTTTAATTATTTTTAAAATTGTTGTTCATGAGGGTGTAGGGGCAGGGCTATCACACATTTCTCATTGTGTTGTGGAGTGGTCTCATTTTCATAATATATTGTAATGCAATTCTCTATACTGTTAGATGTGCTACTGAGGTGCAAATATGTGGAAACTAATATTCCTCTCTCGCATGAAGGTTGTTCATTGAAAAAATGGGCGGTCATGTCCATTGTATTATGAGGTTCGTATTCAACAAATTCTAAGAGGAAGGTATTATACCTTCAGCTACTATCATATTTTGTAACATTTTTTCCTACATAAGCATGTTGAAGATGTTGAAGGCTCACTTCCACATAAGGTACCACCTTTTGCCCTTGTCATTCAACATCAATGCATAGAAACTGTGTTAGTAACTTGGCATGTATCTTGAAGGGGTCTATTGTTCGAGGTGTGAAATATCAGTCACATGTGTTCACTCAAACCTTTTTTCCATCATATCATTTTTCAAATTATTATGGATAATATTTTGTTATGAGATCTTTTGGCATGTTCCACAATCTTCATGGATTATAATTATGCTTTGGGTTTATGTTTTTAACATCTTTCAAGCTCATTGCGTTTTCTGTAGCCATAAATGTACCATACAACAACTACGACAATTTAATCATTTTTGTATGCAATGGCATCCAATGGCGTCCTTTTAATAGTATGATATATATCATATATACTGAAATAGATCGTCAGATGGAAGGATAATCGGATTGCAGTCAATACAATTTTGTGTTGGCTTGTTTCAAATTGCAAGCCACACTCATAATTTTATGAGCGCCAAATGTGCCCATGAAAAAGTAGCTGAGACAAAATCCTCTCTTAAGCTAACATGATTTGCACAATAAAAGCTATAGTTTTGAATTGAGGTACACTTCTCTAATGCTAGCCAATTTTTTACAGCTTAAGAGTTGATTGCCAAATATTTCTTTTCTGGCTATCAACACCAAAATTTGACCATAATTGTTAAGGCTTATTATCTGTCATGTATGTTAGGAAGATCTTTGACACTGCTAAAAAGACAAACACAAATAAAACATGTACGTGAAGTGGTCCCGTTTTTCTTCTACAGATTATATACACCTTAAACTCTTCCGCTACTAACACTTGTATATGTCGGTCCATGTCAATTTAACCTACATATTTCATTAATTCCTACCATTTTATTGTCAAAATGGACGGGCGCAGCAACGCGCGCCTTCATGATCTAGTGTCTATTGATTATTACTGGAATTGGTTCGACAAACTATTTATGTGACAAATTTACAAATATACTGACCCAGCCTGATAATATGACTAATCCATACAGTGGATATGTGCCAATGCTCAAATTTGAAAAATGAAGGATTCAACTTTTTTTGAAATATTATGGGTGAAGTCGCGAGTATGCCCATCAATCGTAAAAATATATAGTTCGACTTAGTCATAGGTTTTGTAGTAGTCTTGCCTTGCCGCTGCCTCTCCTCTCTGCTCCTTGCTGCCTGTGGCTGTCCCATCTCTCTTAGCGATGTTGCTGCTGCACTTCTTCTGAAGCTCTTCTCAAACCCGTTGTTGCAGTTCTCCTCTGAACTCCAACTTGTTGCCTCTCTCTCTCTCTCTCTCTCGCTCTCAATTTTTCTGTAATTCTGTGAACCACTCTCTCTCTCTCTCTCTCTCTCTCTCTCTCTCTCTCTCAATTTCTCTGTAATTCTGTGAACCATTACTGTGCGAAAATATGATTTGTGGTATTTGCTTGAGTGAACCTGTAAGGTTTGTACCTTCTGCAAAGTGCTAGCACCTACATATTATCCAACATTTTCTTCTAAATGTCAAGAGGCATGAGCCACAAATTTTCTCAAGAATGACCCTTGGTATATATAAGGCATGCATTCAATTTTAATAATACTCTTTTGGCTCTCATTTATCTGTTGCCATAGAGCATCGTATAATATAGAAGAGTCAATCAAACATAGCTCTTTGAATATCAGACAAAATATTGGTTGCCTGATTTATTTATAAGAAGATTCTTCTATGTATTTAGTTACATGGTTTTAATTTGATCGTCTTCTTTCAACTTTTTTTTGCTGACTATGATATTTCCTTAGGTTCACCTTGACCTTCACTGCCCGTGTAAGAGCTTAAGTAAATTGATGTTGTATCATCAGAATCTGTAGCCCTGCACAGTTTTTTTTGTCTATACATACACTTCAATTTCTTGCTTGCACTGAAATCCCTCTTTGTCACAGGATGAGTCAGAAACTGAAGATGATGATCCCTTGGACACAGAAGAAGCTTCCTCTGTCCTCATCGCTGCACTGCAGTCTTTCGGCCAAGCTCCGGTGAATGACGACGAAGAAAAAGATATCGTGACAGAGGTAGATGTCTTCTTGCGTCCTACTCTAAATGACAGGGGCTCTCCTATCAGCAAAATAGCTACTCTGGAGGCGCAGATGACGATCGCAAGAGACCGTATCTTGAGGATAAGTGAATGACTATGAGGTCTACATGTTAAGTATAGAAACCTGACGTGGACAAGTGTGCGCTTTGCTGCCACTTCTTTGCCAGCCGGAGTGGCCTGTTTTCAGTGACGATCATGGATCATGGTGTACATGCATGTATATGTTGTGTCCTGATAGACTGTACTACAAGATTTTCTTGGAATGGTTTGGTACTTCTGTTTTATTATGCTATGAAGAGTGTATGTGTATGCTGGTCCCGTGTACTCTGTTTGTACGTCTGGTTGGCAGGAGATTGGGCGAGGTTTTGTATCTTCTCAGGGGTTGCTATCTTGCCGTACATACTCAACTTCTTTGGGTTCAAGGTATTTTCTTTCTTTCTTTCTTTCATGAAGAGGTTAAGTCGGAGGAGAGGATCCGGATCCCGGAGGGCACGCTGCTCTGGCCTCACTCCACTCACCATGCTGGCTACCCAGCTCGGCCCTGCGGCCCTGCGCAGGTATTCACCCACCTTTCCACTGCCCCTGTAAGGACCTCCTTGATCTTGTACCTATCCAAATCCAAATCCTAGCAAATACACTTCAAAGCAAGGTACTATTGTAGACCTCCATCCAATCCGTGATGCCCCCTAACCAATACATGTGTAGGCATTGTCCATTGCTAATTTAATACTTTACACGTTAGAGCATGGTATCAGAAATAGTACGTGCATGTTGCACAGAGATATTATTTCGCATGCATGAATTCTAATTTAAGCTTAAAGTTAGGCATGTCTAATCTCACACACCATATAATTTCCTTACTGTTCACTACATCTTTTTATCTCCAGTTTGGATAGAGTCTAAGCGATAATCTTTAGTCTGATTTATCTTCAAAAGTTTGCTAGAGGCTATAGATGACCTTCTGTGTTTTCTTCAATAGTTTTTTGGAGTGCAACAGTATGAACTGGTTTCCCCATCAGGGCTGTATTTTCTTTTCTTTGATAGATTCTATAGTCATGTACTTTCGTTTCATGTTTCCATGTTTGCCCCTTTCTTGCTGAGCTTTATTCGGATGAATTTTTGTTGTTGTGTGATGTGGCTACATGGGCATGAACGGACATTTTGATATTGCTTGGTTTGAGACGTTCTTTTATTCTTTGACTCAGGCACTCAGCTACGTGTGGTCAGTGATGACAATCGACAGAATCTCTGTTTGAAAAAATATCCGTAATTACTAGCAGCATTCCATAATTTGTATCGGGCTGTCTTGGTGTCGCAACCTAGGAAGTACAAACAGGGTCAGTCGTCACCACAAATAAAAACATTGTCGAGCCTTACTTTTTGTAGGTTGCCTTATTTCTGTTTTTTAAGGAAAGATAGCAATTTCGTTCATTACAGTCCTGTTGCAAGGACACTGCTAGATCGCGGTGCGTCGAGATCATAATTGCTACACTCAAAGGTTACATTGACCTTATTGCTGACATTTGCAAAAATTATATTAAAAAATGTTGCATAATAGCATGTGGAGCAATTTATACTTAATATTTCGTCCGATGCAACGCACGGGCATTTGTACTAGTATAAATCCAACTTTGTAACTGTAAAATGCGAACCAAATCCAACTTCACTTGAACTCCGGGCCGTTGGTTAGGACCCTGGGTTGTTGGGCCATGACGACAAAACGTATCGTTTCTGCTTTCCACTGAGTCGGCCTCATTACAAGGATTGGGCCCCCGGTCACACGGCTTCGACTTCATTGATTTTTTTTTCCAGCTGTTCGACGTCCGGTCTGTCACAGCGACGGGATGAACTGACGCTGCACGGATCTCAGAGAGGAACCGGATCCCTTCCTCCCTCCGAACGGCAGCTCGGCAGCTCAACTCAACCCCAACTCAACCCAGCCCAGCCGTCGTCGACCCTAGAGAATCTGCGAGGAGCAGCAGCGGAGAAGAAGAAGGAGACGGTGGTCTCTCTCCGCCATGGCCAGCTCGTCTGCCGACCCGGAGAAGCTCATGGCCAAGGCCGACAAACTGCAAGTCCCCTCCCCCCTCTCCTTTATCTCTTCCCCCCTCCCCCACACCGGGATTCCCCTTGCTCCTTCCGATGCGCGCGCCGTCTGATCGCGGCCCAGAGGGCGGACTAGTCGAGGTGCCGCTCTCGAATTAGAGTTTTCTACAGTAGAGTTTTTCTTTCCCGATCGTGGATTGGAGCGTCCTGGATCTGTGCCTGATCTTAGGTGACGCGGAGCTAGCGATTTTTTTTAATGAAAATATGTGGCGCTGATTTTAGGATCTTGGTGACCTCCAAGTGGTTGGTGGAGGTAAGCTTTGGGGTAGTAGGATTCAGACTGCTTGCCCCAAATGCTAGGGGATTTCCTAGCCATTCCTGCCTGAAAGGGATCATTAGCTTGGAGCAGGCGCAATAAACTTGCAGGAAAAAGATCAAGCAATGCGATTAGGCTGCACGCTGGCTCTTTGTTTTGCTGCAGTTTTGTTTACATCCGATCTGCGCTCCTAGGGAAACACGAGTAGACTCTGTCTCCCTGATCATATATGTTCATATCCCATTAGCCATTGAAACACCAGCGGAAGCAGGCATGAGTGTAGGCGTACCAATTCTTGTGTCAGTCTGTGTTGCTTCTTACTGCGGTTATGCTTTCAGCGGTGTAGCTTGTTGGGCATGTTAGCACATTTGGCTGTTGGAGAATTTGTGGTGCCAAATCCACTGCACTAACTAGTGTGGCACATTCAGAAATTTTACTTGGGCTATTCTCCACTTCGATTGTGATAGTAGATGAGAACAACAGCACTTCTTTTTGCGGGGAACAAGTGCACATTGCCTTGCATAAAAGTGAACCTCTTGTTCATCGTAGTTTCTCAAAAGCTCACCAGTTTATTTAAAACTGACTGATACTCTCTTCGCAACATAGTTTTCATAAGTTTTTTTTCTTCCCAATTGCCTAATTTCAGATACTTATTAGACGATATGTTTACATTGCCACCTGTTTGTTTTAGCGCGTGAGTGTTTGCTAAGTATGCTGATTTTTGTATTTTTACTGATGTTACTGTATCAAATCAATTTCATTTAAAGAAATTCCTTTTGCATCCATTAATGTGCTAAATGAATATGAACAATCTTTTTTCTAATATATTCTTTTGCAGAACAAAACTGAGCTTCACAAGATGGAATGCTGATTGGAAGAGTGCTACCGCCTTGTACGAACAAGCTGGTCAGTGACTTTGTATGCTGTCGCCATATTCGTATATTCTCTTTCACTGTTTGGTACGCTGCGTTGTATGTAATGAAATTTCATCTCCACTTTAAAGCAATTGCTTATAGATTCAGAAAGGACAATGAGAAAGCAAAGGATGCATTTGAGAAGGCTTCAAAAGGACAAGAAATGATCTCATCGTATCCTTCAGGAATTTATCTATGTCTGTTGTGCTGTCACATCGTTGAACAATCACCTATTTTACCCTTGACTAATTCCCTAGACCGTGGGATGCTGCTAAGCATATGGAAAATGCTGGTGCTTTAGCAAAGGAGCTTGGACTCTGGAATGAAGTTTCGGACTTTTATCGCAGAGCATCAGAATTTTACCGTGAATGTGGAAGATCGCAACCTGCCTCTGATGCTCTTGCAAAGGGTGCCAGGTAATTCAAAAGCAATCCGATCATCATTCGTTCCGAGGCTCATGTGTCTAATCATTATAATATCAGTGCCTTGGAAGATAAAGCTCCAGAAGAAGCAACTAAATTGTATGATGACGCTTGCACACTTCTAGAAGAAGATGGAAAGGAGCAGATGGCTTTTGACTTGTACCGTGCTGCTGCAAGTTTATATGTGAAGCTTGAGAAGTAAGATTGCACAGATCAGCTTGTGCATGCCAATTACACTACATTTTTGCATGTCTTTCTACAAATCCATGGCATGCCATGTGTCATGCATGATTTTCTTGAATTCATTTACTCTTATGTTCTTTGCTGTTACTTTTGGAGCAAGCACATTTTAGGATAGAAAAGGAGTCTCGATCCCAAAACTTTGAGAGCAACACTAGGGGAGTAATACAATATCTACTTGAATAAGCACTCCCCAGTAAACACCGACAGAATTGGAGTAAGCTACACACACACCAAATGGTGGGCAATGATAGGTGGTATCTTTACCAATTTCGGTTCCTACAGTTGTTCTTTCCGGTACTTGGGGATTAATTCCCAGTCTTTTGGTCTATCCTTGCAATTTTTGCTTTAACTAAGAATACTGTTTGGTTCATCAAACATAAAGAAGCAGGCAGAGACTATGGAAATCGGCAAGGGCTTACATTTGTTTACTAAAATAATCCAAACTGGTTGATGCTATATTCCACGAGCTTTTACATCCTTATTCTGGGATTTGTGTATGTTTTGATTGAGTCTCTTTTTTTGGGACAAACCCAGCTCCCTTCTTGCACGCCTTTATTCAGTAAATTCACAGGAGGCCCTTTTTTCTGTATGTGCCTGCCTATTTGTTTTGGTCTTTTTTTTTCTCCTTCCCTGAATAATTGCTCTGCTTAGAATTATTAGAGCTTATTGCACTCATACCTTTTGATGGTTCTGTTTGCTGAATGTACTTGTGGATTAAAATGTTCTTGAAGTTTTAGTGGCATCCTTATTTATCGTTGGATTCTTCAGTTCACACGTTGTCCTTGATCTTTTTCTGACATTTATGCATATATACATCACTTGGCATTCTTAGCAATCGTGTTTATGTACTGATTTATGTGTCATTTCATATTTGGCCATGTCTGACAGGTACTCGGATGCCGCTGCATTCCATTTAAGACTTGGTTCAGCTGCTGATAAGTGCAATGCCGTCAACAGCCAATGCAAGGTAATATTTACACAAAATGTGCTTAGCTATTCAGAAATTTGTACTTTGCAAGGTTTCTGAGGGAAACCTTGGTATTCACCAAAATGTGTTTGCTGAATAGTGTACATTCTGAAACTTTGTTTTTTTTCCTTCTTTCGGCAAGATAATTCTTGCAGCGAGAAAGATTATGCGGTGAAAACTGAAAAGTTTCTTAACAGATAATGGCATGCTAGCTGGTCTTGGAAGTTTATCCCTTATAAAACATTGATGTGCAAAATGAAACTATATTCATTCTGTCTTGTTCAGTTAAGAGGTATCACGATTTTGAAAAAAAGAAGTGTTAATCCAGAGTTGTTCCATGTGTGCAGGCCTATCTGAGTGCAATCATTATCTACCTTTATGCACATGATTTTCAACAAGCTCAGAAATGCTACAATGATTGCTCAGAGTAAGTTATGCGTTGGTGATAGACTGGTATTGCCTTGGCATGTAACATATTTTGTGTTATGTTGGTTGTATTAAATCACTTTCCTTTCCTCCTTTTCTGTGTTGCAGGGTTCAAGGCTTCCTGAATAGTGACCAGAATCGATGTGCAATGAAACTGTTGTCTGCTTATGAGGAAGGTGATGCTGAAGAAATCAAGCGTGCTGCTCAATCAAGTGCCATTAATCACCTCGACCATGTGGTATGTCTTTTGAGATCCTTAGTCAAAAGGCTATCGATTATATGAGAAGATGATCTATGATGGTGCATGTGCTTAGAATGGTGAACTAAGGACTCTCCTAATGCACAGGTGCTTAGAGCAAGTGCTTAGTGTGCGAGGAGGCCTGGGAACTGAACTCCCAATGCATAGGTGCCTAGTTTGTTGTCGCTAAGGTTCATTTAGTTAGCTGTAGGTTCTTTTGTGCAAGCTCAAGCGGTAGCAAGGGGACAAGGACAAGGGGATATGAACGGGATCAAAATATACACAGGGCCTTGTGCCTGGATTCGTTTATTTCTGAGGACACCAAAGTCTTCTCTCCTCCACAATTACATTGCCTCATCTGCTTTTTGCCTATGTGGCATACTTAGCACCAGTACATGGGAGGGCATCGTGCTGAGGCATCATAGGCTAGACATGTTACTGAGAATGTTCCTTTTAATTAAGATATATTCTTCAGATTCTACCATTGTAACTGTGCCAATCTTGTGTGCTTCAGCAGTAATCTCAGGATAAGTTTCATTTTCTTATCGAACTAGTACAAGACCGTTCCATCTCACTTTAATTGTGCCCGTGTCTTCATTCGGACTGACGTGGTCGGTCGCTGCAGGTAATTCGGCTCGCAAGGAAGCTACCAACAGGTGACCTGCAGGCCATCAAGAAAGATGTAGGAGACGACGACGGGGATTCCTTGGACGAGGATGACCTAACTTGATCCCAAACGTGCCCAGCGAGATGCAGAGAGAAGCACAATCAATCGAGTGACTCAAACTATGTGCCGTTGATGAACAGGAAAGGTTGTAAAAACACATTCTGAATTACATAGAAACTTGTAGGCTGCATCTGTATCATGGATTGTGATCCCCTTATTTTCGTTGTTTTGGATCTGTGCACATACACCCTACACCTATACTGCTGGTTTGCTGTTGCCACATTCTTATTTGTTCGATTACCTGGACAGTGTTCTGTTATTTGTATATACACCAGCATATGCTGAAGGACAAACGGATTCCACAGGTCTGGATTTGTATTCTACGTATTACTCCGTCTGAAAAAGCTTGTCTCTCAAATGAATGTATCTAGCACTAGATACATCCATTTAAAAGGCAAGCTTGGGACAAGCTTTTCCGGACGGAGGGAGTAACCAGCAGTGCGTCCCGCGAACGGCTAGATTACATATTTTTTGAACTATCATTTAGAATAACCAACATATATGTGTTGCAGAAACATAATTATGCTTTTGTATAGACATGGCTTACCACCCTTTGTATTGTGTTCTTGGCAAAGATTGTCAACCGAAGGTTGATAGATTTGCTCTTCGGCTAATTATGTAACTGACAAACTTGTGGACCGATCTTGGCCTTTTCTATCCTCCTACTAATGATTTTTGATGTGGTTTTAGTAAGGATTAAATCTAAACAATGAACGCTCATGCTTGAGATTAGTCCATCTCTTGATTCAACCGCCTTCTCGTTGGCTATATATTGATATTGTCTACAGAAGAGCGATAATATTGGGGTCTTTAACTAATTGTATAATCGATGGTATTTTGGACGGATCTTGGTATTTTCCATTTCTAATCATATTCTCATATTGGTGTCTATCTTCCCCCTAGTAAGTTTTAGATGAATTTTTAATAAGGATTAAATCTAAATTTGTGAAAGGTTGTACTGTACTCGAGATTAGTCCATCTCTTCATTCAACCACCTTTTCATTGGCAATATGATGATGGTGTTTACAGTTGATGAAATGTCATGTCTCCCAGATGGCTTCAAGCAAAGCATATATTAATGG